CGCCGGTCTTCTGTGAGGTCGTGGTGGATAATTTGTAAAACAATAAAAACATATTTCTAATCATATAAATTAAAATTATACTTAAACGTAGTAAAGTCTGTAATTGGAATGTTGGGGAACTGAGTTATAACGGAATTTCGATATCGGTATACAGAGTTTCACTTTGACGTCGGCTTTGGTTATTGAAAATTTATTAGGCACCGCAGCTGCAAACAATCTGTTAGAGCATCCATTAACGGGACTACAATTTTTGGTAGGATTATTTATTAACATTATTAATTTGTTCAAGTGAACTAAGACAAGATTTGTTAAATAACTCAAATAAACTGTTTCTTCACTTCGTACTCGTACGAGGTACTTTGCTATTAAATGGAAGTAATTAGTCTATTATCATATCACCTTCTTTAAAATGTATACAAGTGACAAAGTGCGCAAATACGAAACACAATAATTTATGGTAAAAAACAACATTTAAATACATATAAATAGTGGAGGTTGGTATTGGTCATGCTTTTAATATATAATAAAATACGTACTCGAGTTTTGATCGCTAGGTAATATAGATAATTTATTATGAATACTTACAAAATACATCTCTCTCAACACAGACGTACAAAATTTAAAAATATTTTCAATGAAATTACATGGAATGAATGCTTGAAAAGATTCGAATAAAAATCTAAATTAAAACGCCATAAAGTCGGTAAAACAGTTTCATTTATATTCACATAAAAAGAAGGGAGGGGGAGGAGGGGGGGAAGGGGGGAGAGAAAGGAGGGGGGAGAAGGGGGGGAGGGAGAGGGGGGAGGAAGGAAAGAAAAGGAAGGGAGGGAGGGGGGGGGGAGGGGGGAAGAAGAAAGGGGGGGGGGGGAGGAGAAGAAGGGGGGGGGGAGGGAAGGGGGGGGGAGGGGAGAGGAGGGGGGGGGGGGGGGGGGGGGGGGGGGGTTAACCTGTAAAAGCCAAGATGAAAGGTTACAGCTAACAAACCAATTACAAGTTAGTTTAGCAATCTTTTGCAAGTTATCTCCGGGGCAACAAGTCTTAAAAACTCCGAATCAACTTCGTTTCAGGATTATAGACCACCTCATTAGTCATGTAGACACATTTGTTGTCTGCAAATTTGTTTAAGTTTCAATAGTAATCAAATTTAAACATTTGGTTATAGTAACGGTGGTAGAGGAAGATAGTTGATGCAAATGTCTCCTTTCACTTCAGCGGGTTTGTGTAACATATTCATGCATTTGTTATATTTGTTAGTAATAGCTGCCCACATTCATCTGTTTTAAACAGATGGGACAAATTCTTATTATTCTTCCTATTATTTCGTAATATTAAATAAATAGAACATGTTTTGGTAATGATTTTTCTTTTTTGTACTGGTTAATTAATGACAAGTATGTCCCATTATAGTATTATATTCGTAATTTGAAAAATGTTTTATAGATTTAACCTTCACTAACCTATATCATGGCATATTAAGTAATTGCTTTTAGCCATGCATTAAATCGCAACAGGTGGGAAACATCTACGGGAAAGCAAAATGGGCCATAACGACTAAAATATTGAGCCATCGACTTAAGTAAGGGGATGAGTGTCTTTAAGTATAAAAAACTCCTTAGGGTGTCGTAGACATTGAAATTTCGTACTCTTTACTAAAAGAGACAAAAATCGCTGAATAGTTGAATTAAAATGTTTCTTTCTTTGCGTAGTAAAGTAATATGTATATAAAATACAATGTGCAAATGTCACAAGTCAAAGACATCATAGTAATATTGAAGTTAAAAACCTAGCTATTACCTACATCTATTTAATTAGGTACCTATATGATTATAATACTAACTATTTTAATTTTTCACCACAAAATTGTTTTAAAATTTTATGTATATTATTTTTATGAATGTATATATGTATATTTAACATGTATACTAGGTATGCATCTGCTTTATCTTTTAAAGAAGTTTGAACAAAACACTTAAATTGATACTGCGTCTATTTAGTCATTAGACGTCTTCTAACGAGACTAACCAATTTCAGCGACTGATTAATAAGTGACCAGACTAGTAAGTATTTAGTCTTTATATAGACTAATTACAGAAAGTAGATTTAAGCATACAATTGTCCCATTCTTCCATACGCAATCTCATCATATATAATTTAAGAAAAAATCCACAACAGGCTCAACAGGTAGAATTGGTTGTAATTTCAGACAAAACTTTTACATATTGTTTTCTTGATTTTACGCGAATATTATACATATTAAATGAAACTAGTTTACGGATTTTATCGCGTTTTTCATTTTAAAATAAAAAACGCGATAAAATCCGTAAACTAGTTTCATTAAATACAAAACTTTTACATTCGATTTAATGTTTAGGTCATTTATTGAATCTTTTCGGCTAATTTACTGTTACTGAGTTAGGGCCACGCATCAACCTCTGATGCTGCACGAATAAGGCTCAGGAAAATACCACGGCCTCACAGAAGACCAGCGTGAGTTGCAAGTATTATACTTTGATTCTTTGTATGGACAGTACGGTAACTGGAGATCACCTATTTAAATGCTGTCAACGCATCTGCAAGCCCTCAGGTACTGCAGATGTCTAATGGCGTCGCCATTATGAATCGCCGCAATGACTTAACATCAAGGCCAGACAACCTGCGCCTATTTATTATAAATATATCGGAGGAGTGCTCACTTGTGCCGATTGCGGCCGCACATTTGCTACGGAAATCGGCTACTTCAGTCACCCGAGAGCGCATCAGCGACCCTCTGAAAATTAGAAAACAGTCGCTGTAGCCGAACACGGCTAGGAGATGATGGTGATGAACATCAAATGAATCGAACTCACTTTACAACTGGTCAATAAAAATAGGTGGGTGCAAGTCATTCGTTTACTTCAAAATTATTTTTGGGATAATTACCTGAAATTTTTTTATATGTACTCGGCGACTACACCAATACTAATCAAAAGACCTTGTAATGTGATCAGTGAAGGTACACACACTTAATGTTAAATCTTGTAAAACTTTATAACGCAGAGGTGAGGAAAATAAATTGAACAATTCGGTCTAACGAATGGACAGTGGAAGGTTCCCAATAAAACAAGATTTCACACTTAGATCATCCAATGACTCTTTATTTACAGTGATGATTCTCCGATTGATTCATACTTATATTTAAAATTAAAAGCTCACATGAATTAAGAAAAGAACAAACTACCTGTAACAATCAATGCATTATGGTAAATTACAAATTGTTTCGTTTTCTAAAAATGCATAAGTGTAGTTGTACCTTTTTACAAAATAACAACCTTTTGTTAGAAACTTTACAGTATATAGTCAGCAACTTTAAAATGTAACAATCGGTAATAAAGGGAAATGAAAAGGAATTCAATGCAGTCAAATCCTGATTAAAGGCCGCCTCATATCTTATCCGAAAGTAAACTTATATTTTCATATGGGTTTCAACGCAACTCTTACCCATTATAAAAAGCACATGTATAACTTTCACCAATAAAATAAATACCGACTTATTAAAATATTATTTAAATCATACAAAAAACAAAACGATATAAAATTTGCATTATATAAACATTCTATAACGGTATAATATAACAAAATTTGTCTAAAACGACAATCGCCTGAACCACTTATTCTGTTGACAATATTTTAGAATAAAGGTGGGTAAAGCAATTTGAGACTAATAAGCTAGTGCTTTAATAAAAAATAAAGCTTAAGATACATCATACTACAACCTCTAGAGCTAAATCTGTCACTTACTTCCATCTATATTTCTTAGTGGCAGTGCTGCAGTAAACGTTTAACTAACTCTGTAATTTACAGACGACTAACAAAGATTTAAATATGTATAAAAACATCTTAGATCGACTAATTGATGAAACAGAAAAGAAAACTTTAAAATAACTTTAATATATTATATACAACTATAATTTGTTTTGGCATCCAATGTCACCGGAATAAAGCATGAAACGTTTCCGACTAGTGTTCTATAAATGTTGGAGCACACAAAGTGAACAGTAATATTTTTCTTAAATACTTTCACGTGTGATATGTAGAGTTAAATATTTTATATATCGTTTGAATCTTTGTTTATATAATATGTATTTTAAGGATAATCTACAAAGTTCATCGAGAAAGTTAATCAATAAAGAGGTAACGCATTACCAAACACTACGCGTAAGATTCATACAATTTCGTTTAGATTTCTTTAATATTTAATTATTCTGTTAATTATTTATTCGATAGTATAGATCATATCACAATAATCGGCAATATTATAACGGTAACATTTAAAATGTTCCTTTCAAAACTAACAGTTAACAACTTTATACTTTTACCGTACTGAGCAACGACTTTCTTAGAAAAATAAACAGTAATGCATTAACTAAATATTATTATATTACATCAAGTGTGATAGCTTTATTTCTACTTACTTAATATATAAACTTATAGTGTAACACATACTATTTTGCCGTTGGATTTAAACGATTTCGAATTATTGTAATTGTCAAAATAACGATCAATAAAAAATGTGACACATATCAAGAAATAACTGTGAGTAGGAAGTTTTAAATTAATTAATGTTTATAACATTTTTTTAATCAAAAGTATTTCACTATAACTTATTCACTATGTTTTGCTTTGAAAAAAATCGAATAAATAAATTAATTTGCAGTGATTATTTTATGAAAATAATTCTGAAGCCGGCAAGATAATGCGTGCTTGTTAAATTCTTAAAAAACAAAAATAGCATCAACGACCAAGTTACATTTGATTTTATGATGTTTTGCTGTACTATTTGTTAATCTACTAATTGGCTTAACACCATAGAACTTTACAATCACTGGGACTCGATATTAACAATCTAATTTTATAAGAACACTTCGACTTATCAGTAAGATTTCTTTAACTAAAGTTACTACCAAAAAGAATAATTGTTGCAATAAAGCCAAAGGTCATCCTTTCCCTGTGAGCGATTACACTTGCTCGTCCTGTACATCTGCCAAGAGAGAAAAGGAACATTTTATTAATCATCAACTTCCACAGGATGCGATGTATTGATTGTAATCTATGTCAAAAGTACCATAATATCAGAAAAATCGACTAAGAACTTAGTGGAGGAAAAAAATTTTTAAAAGCACGCAAATTAATAAATTTCAAATAATTTATTTGATAATAAATACAGTTATCAACAAAAAATCTATTTCAAACTAACCGATGCTTTTCTTGTATTTAACTTAAATATAATAAATATTGGCAGTTTAAACGCTTGTGATACGTAAAATCACTTAACTGTGTTAACAAGGATTATACATAAAATAAGTTAAATTAAAACTTAAATAAATAATATATAAAATATCATAAATTAAGCACAGTTGCTATTACCCAACATTCATGCACGGAAATCTCGTTACCCAGCATATTTAATGTTACGTAAATTAAGCTGTTTGTAGGTGGTACATAAACATTTTTGAAGAACAGATAATAAATCGCAATAAGGAATTTGTTTTGCCGACGAAACATAAAACCCGTTGCTGTCGTTTCTGTTATAGGTCCAATCAAATAACACACATATTTTGCGTAAAAATTCGTCATCCAGGTTGTGGACTAGCCATTCAACGGTTTCGGAATTAGAAAAAGGCCAACTGTTTCCAGACTGACAATGTTATTCGAATTCATTCCCGTGACTCAGCAACTATGTAACCTAATTTTAGAAATAGTATATAGCTTCCTAAAACGACAATTTAACCCAGTTTAACATTTTTATTTTTAGTATCAGTCCAAATGGACTAGCTACATATAGCTAATATTCGTATCAAAAGGGGGTTGTGATGTTAAATAGCTTGCAATGATCAAGTGCAAGGTGGGGGAACCATGCAAAACATTGGAGATAGCACAACGTGTACGACACTACAGGCAACGGAATAACACCTCCAAACATATACTTACGTTGACGTACCAATAATTTCGAGATAGATGTGGTATCTATCGAAGCTCAATGATCTTTTTCTCCCGTCAATACAACATAATATATGAAAATTTAGTAACGAATAATATAAGCCAATTAACAACTAAAACATTGTTTTAAAATATTTATTAATATAATTACAATAACATATCTTAAATTTATAACAGTTTTGAACAAATATTTGAAGTATGTGTTTAACGAGATTTGACTGCATGAATTAATATTACAAAATTAAAGCATTTAATTAATACCATGAAATGATATGGTGTGGATTTAATCAAAATATTTTAATAGTAAATTTTTCTACGTGAACGAGCACAAACTTAGTATTATAATCTGGCGATGACACTTTAATCTAGGTCTATCTAACGATTTATAAATTGTGCCAATAAAATATAAAGGTGATAAACTTGAAGACATTTGTGTTAATCTTTAATGTATTTAAATCATTATTATATTAAAAAGCATCTAGATCAATCGTTGTAAAGTATCTTAACATTATCAGTAGTTGCCTAAAAGGTTTAGACGTTATAACAACAAACTATCTAGTACCAAAGTACCAAGAAATAGCTAGATATTCATTAATCTATGGGAAGTTTACAATCGAGTATAGTAAATATTAGTAGAAGTACCGCTAAGTCAGTCTAGTGGGAATTATAGGTAACGATATTTTTAGATGTCAGGTATATTTGGTGCGTTTTGTGCATTGGGATAACTTGTGTGAGGTAGAGTGGAGATAGACGCTTTGGAACATAGTAATCGAAATTGATCATATAATAATGGATGATGCCAATTTGACCTTATTCAATTATCAATATGTACTATGTTTTCTTTTGACAATAATATATATATACTCATTGAAACTAATGGTTGGTTAAATTTTAAGTTATAACATTGATAAATCTATCTTGGCGCATTTTGTGTGTGGTACAAGTAAGCATCTAAGGTAAGGAGTCACTGTGATATAATCTAAGTTTACCCTTAAGTCCATCTGTTTGGCTATTTCGACGAATTTTAGAGGAACTGCTGTTTACTACTGTGGTATGTTATTTAACTATGCTCCCTAAATAATGTATTAATAAATATCAGATTTACACCATTTTTGTGAGTTTGTTGTTGTAGTAACGTCTTTATGAAACATAATAGATAAAATCAATTGTTGATTATAAATTTTGAATAAAAAAATGTAGGTATGTTTTCTAAATGTTTTTATCTACAACTGTATGATTTTTAAAATATTTAGATAAATATAAAAATTTGTTTTCTCTAACGTTATTGTATTATTTTGTACAATTAAATTTAAAGGGTAACAACGTATATAATGAACCAAAAACATTCATATTTTTATAATTATATTTGTAATGTTACCATTAAGGTGTTATTTCGAACAGACCACATGACAACAGCTAAATTGTGAGTAATAAGTATTAGTTATATTTTAAAAAATTAAACTTCAATTAGACTTTTATTTAACTTGTACTAAAGGAAGATATATCAAGTAGCAATTATAATAGGTCCTATTACGAACAACAAAGTGCATTGTTTTTATAGTGATGTGCAGACGACGATGTTACTATATTTTTTAAATATTATCTAACCAAATCACGATTTTTCAAAATGGCAACACGTCATACAACAACTGCCTTATCGTTTACTATTATTGCGTAAATTTTGAAATTTTACAACCAGTATTGAAAAATTTAACAAGAATCATAGATTAATTGATATAAACAACAAAGATATTCTTCCAGGCTACCACATAAAAGTGTATACCAAAAAGAGGACAGATATAATAAATTGACGTTTTAGGAGATAGGCAATTTACCGGATTGAGCCAAAACCGTTTAATAATTTGTAAAATACGACAGAAATATCGTACATGATGATAGCAGTTGAGTTATATATGTAAAAAAATATTTTATGGACAAATTTCACCAAAAATTTTCGTTTATTAACTTTCCATACCATTAGATAAGAGATGAGAAATAGTAATAATATGATAAATAAGATATTTACTCAATTTCAATTAAATTCTACACAATAAGTTTTCAGCGTCACTTAGCCTGTTGGCCGGGTAAAATACTCTAAGCCTTAGTCCAAATGTGTATTGAAAGAAATTCACCACATGAATCTAATACAAGAAAAAGAAAATAGAGCATTAACTGTACTAATACACATGTCACGAAACAACGTGAGGAAATCAAATAAATGTGAAATTGATGTAACTTATAAAATAAACGGAAAGTGGTAAAATGGGAGGAGACGAGAAAACATTGAGGGAGAACGGCATGACTCAATCCAAAGGCAGGCTCATCCAAGTTACGGGATTAGAGGTAGCTTTCGGAGAAATCGAGATCGGACACGGAAGCGCGCGATGAGCGCGTGTAGTTCGTGGATGTGCCATAGTCTGATGTGGCGGTGGCGAGGTCGGCCAGCACGCCGCCCGTACCTTGCGTCACGTCCGCCGCCGCAGTCTCCCGCTCCGCCAACTTCTGCTTCAGCACGCGTATTCGCTCTTCCTTCTGCGGACACAACAAATTTAGACGCTGCGGCTCACTACCACGAGCTATTGATTTATCGATCGTTGACGGAATGTGACTTTAGTTCTAAGATCATGCGTAGGAATCCCAGCGGATTTTTGGCAAAAAAAAATCAGTTAATTTAAAAAGATATTAAAACGTGTAAATTTGCCGCCTAACGGCCGGTTTCAATATTTTATCTACAGATAGCTTTTTTTACCAGAGATAGGTATTTGACATTAGGTCCATAATAATTACGTCAAAATTCTATCTCCAGTTACCAAATCTATATGTAGGTCGAATATTGAAACCGGCCGTAAGCGTGCTAATGACCGCTTTGTAAGCTGCTTGTGAAGATTAGACCGCTGACGAAGCTAACACCATCAGCCAGTACGGTTGCATCCGATGGAATTTTTTAAAATCAATTAGACGAACTCTATTTATCAGACAAAACGGACCGTATGGACAGTATAAACTATACTTCCATTTTCCACTATTCTCCTGTGAGACTGTGGTACTTTATCGCTCGTCCTGGACTATTTTTTCATCACAGGACCCTACTTCTAGTATTATTAGTCCGGGTTTCAGTTCAGTTTCAGCACGAACGAGTTAATTCAATAGCACTCCCAACACTACTATTAACTATTTAATTCGTCGTTCATCGTCGTTGGCGAAACTAGTTAGAACTTTCAAACGGTTTCCAATCTAAACGAGCTAGTTGTGCGCTACGTTTATTTTGGCAAACTATTTCAGAAATGCTCAACATTGATGTCTACTGACATTTAACTTGTTGACTCAAGTTTAAATTTATTTAAGGACACTGAAGACATAATTTGATATTATTTAAAGTATAATTAGTCAATATTCCAACACGAATCCTGCCAAGTCGGCAACGCATTTGTAAGCCCTCCGGAGTTGCAGATGTTCATGGACGGTGGTTATCAATTGAAAATAATAATAATGTTAAATAAAAAAAATTTGCTTTGGGCTTCAATAGAAATTTATTAATATTGACTTTTTCCACCTTTCCTTTATGATGATATATATTTACAAATCAATGTTCAAATTAACGGTATTGATATTATCCTTACTAATATTAATACCTGGCGACCATGTATTTTGGAAATAAAAAAAATTAAATATAAAGAAAATGATCTGGTATGGAAAAAAAAGTAAAAAAATAAGTGTGTAAATGATCAAATAAGTGTGTGTAATGATGTGTGATATTTATTCATGTCATTTTCTAAAAATGAAACCCAGCTAGATCGATTTTTCGCCCCCGAATCTACGCACATACAAAATTTCATGAAAATCGCTGGAGCCGTTTCCGATATTCCGATTATATAGATATATATATACAGCGTGTCGTTACCACCGCGACAATAAATGAACACACATATAGAGGATAACTTTTTAAAATTGTATTAATCATTTACATTCTTCAAACATCAATATTTACCGAGTTATTAAATTTTCCAAAACAAACAATTTTAGAACATCCTTACGTATAAAACTATAACGTAAAGTTCATTTGTAAAGGTCACAAAGCATATGAATGGGTTGAATGAATTTAAAAGAGACAAAACATACTGTTAAAAGGAGAGGCTTGTAATGCGACGCTGTGGCGCGAGTTGTATAGGATGTTACAAATTTTGTTTCTTTTTTACTTAATTAGTTTGTTTGAAAAATATTTTTTTTTAATTATGGATTTTGTTTAACGTTAATATTTTTTTATGATTATTGGCAAGTAGCGTTAGACGTGTGTTCATTTATTGTCGCGATGGTAAAGACACGCTGTATATATACTGTTTTAATCATATTCATCAAATTTTACTCAGTAGACATGGTAACCTTATTGTCGGCGCGGCGAAATAGTCTTGCACACAAACGTTGCTTATTTAACTACATAAGCCGCTACCGCTTAGGTAGGTAAATACATAAAATATGATGTCGCTTCCTTTGTGTTACTTAAATTTTCAAATCAGTTACTCTCCAGCCATTTAGGCATGAAGTCGATTTCATGATTTTTATTTTATAGTTATCGATTCATTATTGATAAAAGATGTCTCAGACATAGTCATATGCTCAGTAAATACTACATGATGTTATTCAGTGTTGCGACTAGAACGACCATCGATTTACTTTGAACTTTTCAACTACACCAGCTTTTGACGCAACTGTCGCTTCTACGTACGAATAATTTCTGCAAAGATGTTCTGGAAGTATGCGCGTACTACGGGAGGCTCACCAACTGCACCAGAAGCATTTGCCAAAAGCCGAAACAAGTAAACAGCAAGCAAGAATGCTGAAACAAATTTAGATCAGCTGCCAGTTGTGTTAAAAAGGAGCTGGAAGGATCGGCCCTCGTCTGCGTCCGCGCCCTATACGCGTCGAAGCTTCGCAAATGACGAAGCAACCCTTGACCTTGGTGTGTTTTAAGTTAGTGACAATGACTATCCCAAGTGCTGAAGTGCTATAACAGTGAAAGAATAGTATCGCGTAATGGAACCGACCGACACCGATAAGCACGAGTTTTCTTAGTAAACGCTGATCTCATTGGAATGTATAGGTATAGTTTCTTTATTTAAAATAAAGATTTTATTGTTTAATACTTTATAACTACATTGAACTTACTTAATTCGAAATTTATTTTTGTCATTATTATGTATCCGCCATAACATGATAATGTATCTCACTGATGTTGTGTTGAATAAATTTATCGGCGTTGTAAGATTTGTGAGTTGTAACCTTCTAAAATGTTTTTACCTTCCACTGCAAGCGATTTAATGTTTAATTCAAAATCTCAAAACAAAAAAATTATAAGTTACAGTGGAAATTGTCTCATGAAATCTGTTATTAATTCCATGTAAAAAATGTTTTATGTAGGTATGACGCGGATATTTGCTTAGAAAAATAAACGTAGTAAAAGTAGTGTGTCTGTGTTTTATTTCCCGATAATGAATACCTATTCTTTAATCAATAACATATTAAGTAGGGCTCATGGACTATCAGTATAGCTATTTCGTGTCTTTCTGTTGTGACAAAATCCGATAAATTCAAATAAATTTTGATGATAAGCACGGTGTTTCATTGTATTAGAGCATCGCCAGGACCTGCAGCGCGATGCGGTCGTTGTCAGTTTGGTTGGCGAGGGGCGGGCGGAGGGGACCGATAAACTTGAGGAGCGGGAGTGGGGTAATGACGTAACGAGGAGTGGAGGGAGAGGGGAATAAGTCGGGTGATCAGATGTATGCGTGTGTGAGTTTGGAGTGATAACACCGATGCGCGGTCAGTGACTTCTATAATCAGGGTTGTTACAGTTAATAATTTTTTAAATTTTTATCGTCAAAAAATGCTTAGATTCGTATTTTAAAATTATGCCATTTGATTCAAAGTCTGATATATATACACGCCTTTAAATGTTACAACACCTTTCTGTAACACCCTGTATATATATATATATATGTATGCCTTCTTCTTTGGATGACTGATGTAACTGATTATGTTACGTTATACAATTTGTACTCTATCATTCCAGTCCAAATAGACATACCTGTGCTATCAGTTTCTGAAGCTCTTCGTTTTCTTTTACGAGTTCCCGGTAACGCTCTTCATCAGCCGGCGTCGATCCAGAGCCAGAACCACGCCCACTCTCGGCGCGCTCGGTTGGATGACGAATTACTTCTATCACCTTAATCCGAGGAAGGTGCGATACAGTTATAAAAAAGACCGTAAAATACTCGATTCATTGTAATATTGTTCTCTGCTCTGTCCCTTTGGGATTGAATAAATGAATTATTTATAGCCCCAAGATTCGAAAATATTGTATTTCGACTTCGAAAGAATACATTTAGAGGGCAAACGTATCTTTAGACGCGGAGAGATATTTAAAATTTAAATTCGAGATTATAAATAAAGTGCATTCAAAAAAGTGTGGATCGAATATTTCGTCGTCATAAAACTGAATGAATGAACCGCGGATATTCAGTGTCCGGGCCGCTCGCATTTTATTAATTTTATTGAAGCTTTCAAATCGCCGTATCGACACCAATTAAATTATTGTTTGAAATTTTAAGTGCTTCTTTTATTATTTAAAATCTAACAATTATTAAATTTATAACATATCAGATATCTTAATAATATACAATAGAAAATATGTCATCTAATCTGTATTGAGGCTGGTGCTCTTTTAAATTTTGTACAGACGTGTCCTTGCTGAACTGGCGGACGCATAGACATGCTGCTGCTAGCTTATCGTTTCAATAAAAAATTATAGCATCGGAAGCAACTTTTACATGCATACGTACTTTTGGGATAAATATGAGAGCCATGCTCAGGAAACAGCAAAAGACGATCGCAAGGGACACGAACGCAAAGGCGGCATCCTGTTGGCTCGCAATCACTAACGTGACCGGAGCAGTTATCAGGCACAACACGACCACGTTGTAAATACTCATGCCGACGTATCTCGAGTCGTTGATTTGACGTATCTTGACAGATCTAGTTTCGTACGCTAGGAATAGGCCAAACACCAACACTAGGCCCTTATAGCCGTACATCACTCCTAAAACAAAGAGGTGTAATTTTATAACTTTAACCTTTAAGAATTGGGCGTTATATTAAGGAATTTTCGCCCGCGGTTCGACACATGTGTCTCATAAACTGTGATATTTAGACAGTTGAAATTTTCACAGATGATGTATTTCTGTTGACGCTATAACAACAAATAAAGCAAATCAGAATATTTTTTTTAAGTAGGGCTCTCATACATCAGACATAAATTTATTGCCTTTTTTAAATATTATGGTATCGAACCCTTCGTGCACGAATGCGACTCGCACTTGGCTGGTTTTTGAATTTATATAATCTAACAATTATCATCATTTTACAGACCATAATATAATTATAGTTAACTAAAGTTTCATCTAATTCAGCTGTAGCGATTACTTTTTTTTTAATTTGATATAACTTTTTTATTTATGAACCGATTTGAACAAAACTAACACTAAATGTTAAGTGAAGTACTACAATGTATAAGTGAAAGTTGCACCCAAAGCTGTTTCTGAGATTAACGCGCACAAATGCACATACACACAGACAACAATTTTAACAACCGTTGTCTTGGGTTCTATTGCGTTCATAAAGAGGGATCTTTAATAATAGTTTTTATCAAATATCTTCCATGTACAGACAAAGACAAGTTACATTTTTATTATATGCAGGTATAGATATCTGTTTGTATCTGTCTGAATTTTTCGCTTTCACCCTATTCCACGCGGGCAACAGCTAGTTGTTAATAATTTTGTTAAAAATAGATAATGTTGTGGATATTTCAAATACCAAAGATAGGAAGCAAATTTATTTATACCATTTCTAGAGATTCCGCAGCTAAAACTTTTCTTAACAAAAGAGAAAGCAAAACTAACTACGTGGTCCATTTTATGCTATTGTAAACTTTGTGTGCTTAACAAGTCATCACGTGAGTGTATTGCTTCTATAGGGAATAAAGATATTTGATTTTGATTTTTTGAATTTGAAGAATATCCTGTAATATATACAAGTGTTATAAATTAATTACATTTTCGCTATATTACCTGATGACAAATAATTTGAAGAATTTAAAACAAATGACTGTAGCTTACCGAGCCAAACTGTATTGTGTTCACTCTCGCAATGCTCTAACTCCGGTCTTATATGCACATCGTCATCATGATGTCTAGGTGCTTCTAATGGGAAGGTTTCCACCCGCCTTTGTAGCGGGTCGCGGAGTTGCCATGCCGTAAGCAATGCCACATCTACCACCAGTAACCCGCCAACCATCGTGTACAGTTTCCAACCATGCATGCGTTTCTATTGATAATTAATATATATAACTTTTTTAGTATATAATTATATATATACATACTATAATTTTAGGAAAGTTAAACATAGCCACCATTAAGCTATTAAGTTTTAGTTCATATTTTATATTTTTATAATGTTAGGACACAACCTTTACATACTTATATTTTATTGGTAAATTTTCAGATCCAGCGGATAATTCAGTTGAGTGAAATCATAAATATATGAACCATCCCCCAAACCAATAAAGTTAAGTATGTGAGCAACTGCCAAACTTTACCACCTCTCGGGATCGTATATCTGATTTATTACTACCCGAATTTTATCAAAGCAACTTATTACTATCACGGGTGCCTCTTGAGAACGCAACCGCCAGAGGATAAAGGCGACTTTATTAAAAGTTAGATTGCATTTGAAAAGGTAAATTGGTTTCATTATTTATTGTTACATAATTTTTATAATCATATTAGGAATTACTAGTACTATTTATAGTAAAATTCTCATCGACGACAATTATTTTTTAAACTTCGCATTTTTTTAATTATAATGTAACCAATCGGTAATCAACGTAATGCTTTTTAGTGATCTATTTTATACGATAAACGCACTAGCCCCGTCAAGCCCTGCTTAGTCTTGCCTTGAAGACACATGCTACAAATAATTGTTTAAATAGTTCTATGACTCATACCTTGGTTTCGGCTTTCGGCTTAGTTGTGTGTCGGTGAACACGCCACACTTTTGTGAACATCGCCCCGTAGGCCATTGAGAATCCGATGGCGAGAAGCCACGCCCTGGTGGCGCAAAGACCGGTATAGTGTTGCGGCGTGACCCATCTGCCATCCACGCCGAGGGCGACCGCAGCGCCCAGGCAAACGCAACAGCCGCACAACATCACAGTGTTGCAAGCTGGATGCGACCACTGTATTACCCTGTCAATGTGTAAAGGTACACGATGAAGATTGTTCTTCGCGAAAATTGTTTTTTACATAAATTGTTTAGTCACTCTCTATGTAACTATGCACATACAGGGAGACTTTTTTAAAGGTGCCCAAATTTACACAGGAGGTGTAATCGGTAGTATAATCGTTTATTGAAATAAAAGCAAACTTTTTTTACAAAAAAAATTACCATTCTATTCCCTAAAAAACAGAACTTGTTGACAACACGGTAGTCTTTTTTTTGGGCTGGATGAGCCACTGTTGGCCTTAGGGGCCTTTACAGTTCCGACAGGCATGAGGTGGCCGGGCGCTCTGGGCGCCTAGCCTGAACCTAGGCGTAACACGGTAGTCATTCATACCTAAATTTTAATGTTTTCACGCACACAAACGAACTTTTTGTGTAAAATAAATGAGTTGCGTATAAATCACGCACTTTTTTAAATAAGTTCAATGAATGTGAATGTAAGTAATTACTTACGAGTTATTTAAAATATTTATCATTTTTATATAACATTATTTATGGCTAGAATTTAATTTAAAAAATGGATACACTTAGAAAAGCCTCCATGTTTATTGTAACATTAGACTAACTTACAGACTATATCGCATTTAATTTTATTGTCACGACGTATTGAAAACTTCACAGCGTCTAGAGTAACGGGACATGACTTGACCTATCCTTACCATCTTTAGAAAAATAAAAGCTAAATTATTCAGTTATACATAACGAAATTAGATTTTGGCTCAGAATAAGACGTCTTTTTTCTAATACTATTTTATAACTGTACAAAGTTAACATAGTCACTGCTTACTGCTGTTTTGGATCATCTTGTATTAATAAAAGATAACAAACGCTCTCAATATACGTGAAATTTTCTTTGATTCTGACTTATACTTTTTTAAGTTTGCGTGAATTTTTATATTCACATTAGTGAACATTCAGACCTGACACTTTAGGCCTAGTTTACCTTCTATGGCGATGCATAATGTTGAAAACGATTAAGCCAATTGCAGCCAATATGCCAGCGATGCAGAGTGCAGTCATGCATGCAAAAAGTGGTAGCGAGACTGTGCGCAATTCGTTCACCACAACTGTGCGGTCCGGAGGCACTTTTCCACCTAAAAAACAGTAAGTAACAAGTAAAGTAAAAGCATATGTCCCTTTGTTCTGTAAAGGATTCTGTTCTGAAAAGGTCGGTAATCGGGCGGCCCCGAAGTACACCAGTTCATATTTTCTTATTATTACGTCGGTAAGATCGAAAAATATTATGCATATTTCATTACTCAGGAATTTGTATCTAAATGTAATTTCCAAAATACACGATTTTCCAAAAAAAAAAAAAAAAAAACAAATCGAGCAAAGCTCGATCCTCCAGATTCTAAATGTTTATTTCGAAATTGCTTCATTATTTGTTCACTTTTATAAATTCTTTTTTATGTTTTATCAACACGAACTTGTCTTAATAGACCAAAATTATCTTAAAGAGAAAACAAAACACTAACCGACCCACTGCTCCCGATCTAACCAAGTAAGATTGTCAGCTTGGGTGTCGTAATATCCAAGTTTTACATAATGATTGTTGGATAGCTGCTCTATTTGTGTTAGCGCTATACGGTCACCCTGTGATGAGAAAGCAACTAAGCCCTGCAACGAAACGATTCGTAAAAATTTTGCTTAAAGTCATCAAAACGAATTCTAGCCGAAACTTAATTAAGCCACGTACCGAGACCCCGAGAAAAGACGTTGAATTTATCGCCTCATAAATATCATCCGCAATCTTCTTATTAGTATAGGTAAAATTCTTCAGGCTAAGTCCATTCTTCTCCAGCTTTTCCATAGTTTTGTTAAACGCTAGAAAAAAAATCGATAAACATGTTGTAACACATTTTGATACGTTCATATTATTATGGTATACATTCAAGGAGGACTTTAAATTTTACCTAACGCAACTGCCCAAACAGCATCGTATGCTAAAGGCGCTTCTTGATAACCTTCTGGAAATCTCTCCCCATCGATGTCATATCCAGCTTCTCGCAGTGCTTCATTTAATCTAGACCTAAAGGAAAAAAATGTTGTAAATTTTTTTCACCTAAGAATTGCTACAACGAACCAATATGCAAAACCAAATGTAGCTGTTATAACAATTAGAATTGTAGATTATTACTAACACTGCTGATTCTTTTGCTTGCGTACATATATGAAAAGCCAAGTAAATTTTTCCACTTGAATTAAATTAGGTTCTTTATAAAAAACGCTTGATAATTAAAAATATATTTCGTTCTAATTAATATTTACGAAGATAAGATTTTACAATATCTTAATTAGCTAGATAGGTACTGCTTTTAGATCTATAATTTCGTCGTCTGTTTTTAATTGAATTAGGACTTTAAATACTTTTCGGAGAATGAACTGTAATTTTAATGCTACTAATAAAAGTGTGGAATACCTAAAATCCTCTGACGTCATTCCAGATATAGTGGTCTGATTTGAATTTTGATTCCACATGAGCGCCTCCGTCGTAAGATGACCCTCGGCAGCTTCCCTCATCTGTTCCACAGTGCAATCAATACCTTCTCTCTCCAGGTTAGTTTCGAACCAGTTGTCTTCATACCAGCCTAAGCCATAGTTGTGATGTAAGAAACATTTGTTTTTGATAAAAATTACATCATAAACTAATTTTAAGAACGAATTTCCTTAACGCGGTTGTGCGAATATGTTAGCTATTATCCAGCACTAAAATGCGCTGATGTAATTTCGACGTAATTACAAGGAACCTAGTTTATTTTGTTTTGAAAAAAAAAAAAACATCCCCTGTGTCAGTACTCTTTGTTCGTGAAAAACACATTAAATAAATGAAATTAATAAAGGTATAATTAAATAACTTGGAATTATAAGTAAATTTCAAAAAGTTGTTATTGCTTGCCATGGTTATATCGTGAATCTAATGAAGTGAACAAATCGGTCGTTCATGTTGCTTTTTGACGCACTTCGTAAAATCTTACTCTCATAATTTTTCCAAACGCACTAAAACAAATATTACTTCAAAAATATTTTTCTGTCATTCGTCTGACAGCAAATATGTCGCACACTGTACGGACAATTTAAATAATAAAAACTGAACTCTCTACGTGCAGTTTCAATCGACGACTTTAAAGTTATTTCGCACTCAGCAAAGGAACTTTAAAGTTCTTTAGATTTCAAGATTCGGACTTGAGGAACTTCGTTCCTGACGGCGGAACCCCTAGTGCATCCCTTTTTTGTATAAATAAAATCAAATATTTCTTTTCGTCGTACAAATACAATAAAACTTAGGGTTGGAATTTTTTGTTGAACAGAAGAAAAGTATCCGTAGAAGCCAGAATGCTTATTTGTTTTTAACCTTTCCAGGGGTTATTTTAAAAGTTTTTAACAAAACAATTTAATATTTCACTGGATAGATAAATAAGTTTAAACTAGACTTAGTTTAAATTTTGCTGTTATTAGTTAGGCCGTTTTACAAACACTGAGAAAAAATAAATAAAATTGCTCAAAGTTGTGAATATTACGTCGGTGGCACTACGAAACTTAATGTAATTTAAAGCCTGACACCGCAAAGTCAACTAAATCATTGCTAGTAAAGTACTTTTGTAGTGAGCCAGATTAAGAGTAATTAAGATAGGAAAATTGGATCCACGCTTTGTTTAAAGTTAGCGAAGCTCAGCACAGTCTGCAGTCACATACGCACCGTTGGAGTTATATTTTTTTTAAATAGAAGTCGCGTCTTATAGTAAAAACTGTACGGGTTTGAAAGTATGAAAACAATCATTTAATGTATGTATTGTAAACCAATCGGTTTAAAGGATATTTTAATATATACCTTTATACCTTTCAGGACGTGGAAGGAATACAATTAGTAAAAGAGACAAAAGAAAAAATTTCAAACAAATAAGTTGTGTAAGATCAAATGATTATAATTGTATGGGGAGCCTGTTTTATTTTTTTGTACAAGTAAACTGCGGCGTGTGGCTTCGGATAGAAATTAAAATTTTAATTATCACAATGCCTCTCCTATAAATCTTAAATTAAACTCAGCATTCTTTGTAGTTTTTGCAGTACCATTCACAGGATCAGAAGTTTTTGTACGAAGTTTATGAGAGTTCTAATTATAGCATATACTTGAAACATGTAAAATAATCAGTGTTGTCTTAGTGTTAGGAGTTTATGCTCACCGATAAAGAACCACACGTAAGATTTTCCATACAGACGGTGTTTGTACACTTCGCACAGAACCCTTCGCGCGGCAACTACGTAGAAAAGCCCAACTATTACGCGGGCGTCTTGTCTGCGTAGATTGCGTACTGCGTCGTTCGGGTCAGAGAGAAATGACTGCCTCGTCACGATCTCTATACCTGATTTTTTGCAATGGGCTTCTAGATCTTCCACGGTCTAAAATGAAATACAATCAGTTATCATATATAATGTTATTATAATTTATCAGAGCATCATCATCGTCGTCACAATCATTTCAGCGTGCTCGAGCCCACTGCTGAACTTATGCTTGCCCGACAGACTGCCACTAAGCAAGATCTAAGCCTGCATCTATCGAATTCTCGTATTAATCATTTATCCATATTTAATAAATAATTTACGTTACCTGTAAGAATGAGTTTTATTTAAAACGTATAATTTGGTTGTACTGTTTGTGTTGTTTGTCGGACGTAAAGCGGAAGACCGAGAAAGATTTGGATGGACTGTGTGAAGAATTATATATCTTTGAAAGGGCTGAATATTGAGATGACGGCTGATGGATGACGTGAAAGTAAAGGACATGTTGTGCCGACCCCACCTAGTGTGGGATAAGGGCAGGAGAAAGAAGAGTAGCCTGGTATAGTTAGGAAGGACAGGAATTTCTTGAAAAATCGCTATTTCATAAATCATTTTTTGCTATAATCATTTCGTTAATAAATAATTTGATATTAATCAGGTGGTTAGTAAGAATGTGCTTTTAAATAAATTCAGTAAAGTAAGAAAAGCTCAACTATTGATTTAATCACAGAAACACAGGGCAAACAAAATCATAAATTAATATGTTAAATAACAATTCTTATTAATTTAGAATCGTAGATGCAGGCTACATAATTAATATAACTAAGATTATAACCGCAAAAGTAAAACATTTTATCGAAATTAGTACTCGAGGAATAGTCATACGTTTAAATAAAAAATATTTTGGACCCGATCAAAATTTAGTTAGATAAAATATCCTTGAATTGGATGTATAATTGCTGTTGAAAGTTCACGTCAAAAATTTGGCAACGAGACTTGCAAAAAATAGATAAGCAAAGATTACTTATTACTTAATATATTATTTTTATCTCTTTAAAATATTCTTATGGTAGTTAAGTGTAACGATTAAAAAGCATGTAAATCTAGATTTTTGCAACAATTGCGAAATTTAACACACTACTGTGTCCTCTGTGCTGGTAAATCTTCTGTGATGGTACTTAATGTTTAGTTGCCGAGTTTATATGCATGGAAATATGATAGTGCCAACGTTAGCATCCCGGGGACGTCATAATTCAGGAACGCACGTTTTGAAGCAACGATGCCCATGGGCATTGGATAATATATTTTAATACATTCAGTAGTTCTCTTTTATATATGAAGTACCTTAATAGAAAAATGGTTTGCTCTTGATTGCTCTTCTTTAAATAATACAATAACAAAATAAGACAAACGAAATACCAAGTATGTGATATTTTTTTGTTGGAACGAACGAAGGAGAATAGTCCATTACGAGCGTTATGTGTAATATTATATTTAAATATTGCTATCTAACATTTAACTAGGATTTCAAGTGATATGTAGGTATGAGCTAACATACTCTTATTATGGATCTGTAACGTAACTCCCCCGTTGTTGTTATTTTCTTCTAAACGTTTAGTATTTTTTTTTTTATTTTTTTATTTAAAAACGTTGCACTTACTTTAGGATAACATTATCCTGTGTTGTAGGGACGTTTTACAAACATAAATTTCACGCGGACAAACACCCAGATGCGAAACAACTACCTGTAGGTCACACAAATAGTTGTCCCGTGTGGGAATCGAGCCCACGACCCCCGACGCCGAAGCCAATACCTTGGCAACTGTGCCACGGAGTCATCAAATAGTATAGTATATATCTTATCTTAGTATAGTAATAGGAGTATATATCTTGAAGATATTTAACTTTTAAATGAAACTAGTTTACGGATTTTTTTACATTTACTAACCACTTACAAAATTTTTTATAATTATAAAACTGACAATATTGCATTTATACTTATACGTTGAATACGTACCTAGTTATTTAAAATTTTATACATAACCATAATTATTTCAATTTATAAATATAGTTTGAAAAGACAGGGATAATGCTAACAAATTATAAGTCTCAACTTACCTTAAATTATATTGGACCATCATCATCAATTTCAAAGTCAAAGTATATTTATTCAATACAGACTTAACTTAAGGTCTTATTGAACATCAACAAAAAATCTACCACCGGTTCACTAAACTAGACCTGCACAGAGAAGAACCGGCAAGAAACTATGCGGTCTTGTTCTTTTTATTATTATTTTTTTTGATGTAATTATATAAACTTATTTAGGTATAAAATCAGCAGCAGCCAGAGGTCTTGCAAGTGCAGAGCAAAAGTCATTTCCACACATCCTTATCCTCAATGTATTCTTGGACATTATAGTAGGTCCTTGCCATTAATGTAGCTTTTACAAATTGTTTAAAATTGCTTATACTTAGTTGTTTGTGGATGTCACCTATTATTATAAAAGTTGATGCATCTACCAAGAAACGACTTTCTGGTTTTAGCCAATCTAAACCCTGGTACTTCCAGAGTGTCACCACGGCCCCGACGCGATGTGGATTGTTTTTTCGTAACTAGGTGGATATTATTACGTACATACATGATGTTTTCAAGTATGTAAAGCGTCGGGAGCGTTAAAACGTTTATTTGTTTAAATATATGCCGTAGTGACTCACGTGGACCCAAGCCATAGACAGCACGTATAGCCTGCTTTTGTAATACAAATATTGTGTCTAAACCGGATGCGGAACCCCAAAGTAAGACACCATAAGACATTATGCTGTGAAAATAAGCATAATAAACTAATTTAGGTGTTTCCTCGTTAGTTAGCTGCCTGATTTTGCGTATGGCAAAGACGGCAGCGCTCAATTTCTTAACTTACTTATCTACATGAAATCCCTATTGCAACTTGAAGTCAACGCTTATTCCAAGAAATGCTGTTCAATCCTCAAGGATGTAGGATTTTCTCATCAATAGAGATTCCTGATTGGTGACAAAAGTTTGAAAGAGTAAATCAAATACATGTTCTTTTATTGGAGTTCAAAAGTAAGTTATATATGGTATGGTAGCAAACCAGCCAGACACAACATCTAGTTTTTTTTTTTTATTTTAACAAAGTAACTCTACAGACCCGTGGTCCGTACTCTTTTTTGGTTAACATGTTTTTTTTTTTAATTTTCTTTTTGGGCTGTCACCGCCGCATACATCAACCAGGCTGGTAGCGGTGCAGCAGTGAGTTCATATTTATATATATATTTTTTTTAATTATTATTATTATTATCGACGACCTGAATGGCGTAGTGGGTAGTGTACCTGCCTCCTGCGCTAGAGGGTGTGGGTTCGATCCCCACTACTGGAAAAATATTGTGTGATGAACATAGTGTTTTTCTAGTGTCTGGGTGTTTAAGTATGTTTATCAGTTTTCTAGTACCCATAGTACAAGCTTTGCTTAGTTTGGGACTAGAGAATGTTGTGTAAAAATGTGTCCTAAAATATTTATTTATTTATTTATTATACATATCTTATCCTTTAAACGAGCAATTCTTGTATATATATATATAATCGGAATCTCGGAAACGGCTCCAGCGATTTTCATGAAATTTAGTATGTGCGTAGATTCGGGGGCGAAAAATCGATCTAGCTAGGTTTCATTTTTAGAAAATGTCCTTTTATCCCTGTTTTCAGGGAATGAAAAATATCATTCGAATATGACGGTAAATTTCGCCGCAAGAGAAAATGTCATAATAGCTCGGTCGGTAATCGGGCGGCCCCAAAACAGACGGCCGTGGTTCGTGTCACGATCATTTACACACTCTTTTTTTTTACTTTTTTTTCGATTCCAGATCATTGCTTTCTTTATTTTTAATTTTTTTGTCGATTTGTTATTTTGTTACTTTTTCCCTTTTTTTTAAGTTGTTTCTTTTGTGAAAAAACACCACTTCATATTTTCTTATTATTACGTCGGTAAGATCGAAAAATATTACGCATATTTCATTACTCAGTAATTTGTATCTAAATGTAATTTCCAAAACACACGATTTACCAAAAAAAAAAAAACAAACCGAGCAAAGCTCGGTCCTCCGGGTACTATATAACTTAATTAATATATATATATATTTTTGATCTGCACAGTTTTTGCTGTAGGGAGAATGGACCGACGGAGATCTCGTCGGTCCATTCATTGGAGGTTATTTGGTAATAGGTGTTATTTTTTTGCTAGTCTCTCCGCGACCGCTGCGTCTCTGTTCCTAATTGCTATTTTAAGGTTGTAGTCTCTTATCTTGCAGGTTGATCATCTAGTATTCTTATATCATATATCTAGTATTTCATTTGGTTGTTCTAGTGCATCATCTTTCCTTTTAACTTTAAACAATAGTGAAGTGTCATCCGCAAACAAAACAATTTGAGACCTTTTTTCCACTATATATGGCAAATCATTAATATAAACTAAAAACAGAAAAGGGCCCAGGATCGATCCTTGAGGAGCGCCTATTTTTACTTTTGACCCCGTTGACAATATACCATTTATAATTACTTTTTGTTTCCTGTCAGTAAGATACGAGGAAATAAAGTCAAATAATATTGGATTAAGATTTTTAGATACTTAGGGCGGAAGATCGAGATATATGGAGCAGCTGCGGCCAAATGAAAGTTGATGTTGATGGTGTAAATAATATGAGATCCCAAGTTTGTTATTATCTCATACAAAACAAAGAAATATCTCGCATGAATTATGTAGTATTCAGTGTATCATTAACAAGCAAAGGAATATATATTGTTTTATATATATAAAGTTTAATGCTAATTTCTTAATCGGTAGAAAAATTTAAAATAGTTTGTTTACAGTCAATTTAAATAGAAAAAGGTGGTCAGCAAGATGAAAAACAAAAGCATTATCATCATTTTAAACCACTGTTGAACATAGACTTCCCTCACAGCCTGTTACGAAGGAGGATCTGAAGCCGAAGAATCTAAATGGAAATGAATAGACAGTTAGCTGAAAAACAAAAGCAGTTAACACAATGCAAATTTTGACTCCTTACCGATATGAAGACTTCTTCCGCTTGTTGCAATATAGCGATGCGAGACCAGCCGAACTTCTGCATTAGTTTTATCCTTGTGGGGTTGTGGACTGTGGCCGATGGGTGGGTGCGGAACAGCGTTGGAAACCGTGCCCTATCTGACAGAGCAGGTGACGATGCCCCGTAACATAGCTGCGTGATAAAAAAAATTATGTGCTTAACTTAACGTGTCCGTATAAGTTTGGAACAAAACTATCATATAGAAGAAAATTCCTCACGTAATTATGCTCGTTAAAAGCGTTTCATTCCTTTAATACTCAACATATTCCAAACGACTTCAAAAAAGAAGGCGGTTTCCAATACGGCTGTATTTGTTACCTTAGAACTCAGTCATTTATAATTCGATTCGAAAATTATTTTGTATTTTATATATGGTATTATTTAAGTCCCACGTGGTACCATATTGATTGCTAATATTGGACCTTAGATTTCGGAGATACATAAGGGAACTTTTCAAAATCGTATAGGAAATTCACAGTGAGTAAGATATTTGAAGTCGCCTTCGTTTTCAAGTTATACTTCTTTGGGCGTAGTAAATTTGTTATGATGCGATGCGTCATGGTGTCGGTACACTGACATGACATATTGCATAGAACATAGAACCCTAACAACTTTTTGATATTTACTTATAACTTCAAGTTATTTAATTAAACGGTTATCAGTTACATTTAATGTCTTTTTTAGAAACAAAGAGTACTGGCAAATTGAATAAAATTTTAAGTAATATTTTTTTTGTTACGCTAAAGAAGTATAACATCTCACTGTTAGTACACAATACATTTTTAACAGAAGTGTACTTGTTTGTTGATTTCTATTTTAAGTTGTTATTAAAAAAAAACTGAAAAATTAAATGAACTAATACGTAAATATTATGTATGAATATTATATAGATTATGTACCTACTAAAGTAAATGTTTACGTTAAGTGAAAAGTGAATTCCTTCAAAATAATTATTAAATTTCATATTAAGTTTGTATATTGCTAATCTCTGCACTTAAGATAAAGCAACAAGCGGAAAAATGGGCCAAAAGTAAAAGGTCCCTTTAAGACAGGGGTTCCCAACCAATGGTCCGTGGACCACTAGTAGTTCCCAGAAGCTAAATGATGTAGCGGACCATCATGACCGTAAATTTAAGAACGAAACAATTTTAACACGGACGTTGGTGAAGTTCTTGAGCGAATCCAGGAAGAAGTCATTGAATTACATAACGACAGAAACTGCATGGATGCTTTTGAGTCGAATTCACCTGAGTCGTTTTGGTGTAAAAATGCAATTTCCTATTCTAAACTTCAAGAAATCGTCTTAAACTATTTTATGGTTTTCTCGACAACGTATTTGTGTGAAAAAGGATTTTCTGCTTTACTGGCAATTAAAAATAAGGCAAGGAATCGTTCAAAAGTTAGTGATGATTTGCGCTTAGCTTTGATTAACAATATTAGTCCTAGGGTAGCCGAACTCGTAAAGAAGATGCAAGCTCAGAAATCACATTAAAACAAGTTTATGTCACACAACAACAAAACAGAAGTTTATCCAAAAAAATATTACTATTTGTTTTTATGTAACTATAGCTTTTGAATTTTTCGGAATTTTCGAAATTAAAGTTTCGAATTGATTATTTCACTTCAATTTAATTATCCCTTCACAGAGGTCCCTGCTAACAATAATAACATAAAATTGGTCCCTGATCAAGAAAAGGTTGGGAACCCTTGCTTTAAGCCATCGTTTGCATGGAAGAGATCATTTCATATCATACATTTTCATGAGAGTTATACGTACAACCATAAGATTCCACATCTTTGCTGCTTCAGCGACTGTGGTGCAAACTGTGGAACAACCGGCCAAAAGCAATAACTTTTGAGGTGGGTTGTACAACAAGTTGTACATTACGCTCGCACCTAGGCCTGGTTCACACTGCCAACAGAATAACCATATTAAACCACATCAAAAGTAGTAACGTTTACTGTATTGTTTTGTAGTAACTTATCGTAACTTTAGTTTCATACAGTTACTTAGTAGTTAGTAGTTTATCACTGTTTTTATTAACAATTGGATTCGTTATATACACAGTAAGGGGGAAACTAACACTATTTTATTTTAAAGAATGTAAGATGGGCTAACCTTGGAAGATTCAAAGAATATTTAAGTTTCATTTTCGATTTTTTACTTCACTGTTAATTAAACAGTGTGCACATTATGAAACAGGCGTACCTTACTATCATTGCTATGGAGCAATAATTTGAATCCCGATAATAAGTCGGACCTCGCGTTCACGTCGGCGAGCGCCAATTCTGCAGCAGGCATACAAGCCTGCCCGCCTTGCCAGCCGCCTTCTCCCTCCATGGGAAATATGCCGCCGATATGCAAATCGTTGTCTGGCCTCCCTTCGCTGTACCGACTAAGTCCGCCAACGTACATCAGCAGCAGCATCCGCACCTGCCCAACCCCACGCCCGCGCCCACGCCCACGCCCACGCCCACGCCCAAAACACCATTTCGAGCTCCCCTTACACACAATAAACTTGGCAACAACGAACAATCGCACTAAAGCATTCACTAACGACTCAAAGCCGCAACACAATGTACTACACGTAGTTCGTAAACAAAAGGAACAATTCACGGTTGCTTTTAATTTGACCAGGGGGCGCTTTGAAAAATTTAAAGACGCTTTGACCTTGCAATGGGTGCGCGTTACTGCCCGTAGGAGTTGTAGACATAGCCTAATAAGCGGTAAGTTTTCTACGTAGTGATGCAACGAAGGTTGTGCGGAGGGCGCGTCGCGTCGCGTATCCGCCGCGTGCCCCCCGACCGTTTGGCGGGTCATCGCTCGCGGCGGGGATATTCTGTCATTGTTCACCTCTCTCATTTTCCATTCTCCGTCCTGCAACAAAGAAGACCGAGCGTTTACTTTGTATCTGTTATGCCCCTTCGGCTGATTTTCTTGCGCATTAATACTTCGCGCTATAGCTGGCTACATTTTTATATGGACTTCGTGTTATTATTTATTGTTAGCGGTCCGTTATAATGTTGATTGGTTTCTAATAATGGATACCATTGTGTTTTGCGCTACTAAGCCCCTAGTGTCTGTTGCAGAACTTTGTCTTAACAGAATTCTCCGAATCCGAGTACTTTGTATAGCTTAAGTTACATAGCAGACACTAGTATCTAGACAGTTTGTAATGAGCAGTACCTTACAAAGCGACGCGCCTCTGCGTCGTCGCCTTGCACACCTCCAAACACATTGTTCTCAACATGAATATCAAATGCTGTTTGCGAGGCTTATGTAAGACGTGCATCCATCAACTAATATTCAACTTTGAATCCACAGAATACTCTAGCGGTGATATTGTTGTAATATTTATTTAAATGTCGAATGAATTCAACATTTTTACTCTGGAGTGTGGCAGTTGCGTTTCGTCTGGTGAGTGAGGTGACCGGATCCCACTTTATTAAAAGATGGTGGTTATCACTAAACATCAGGTGAACCGCCAGGTGGCTTGCCACCTTGTCACATTAAAAAAGATTTATTACGATTACGGTATCAGTTCGTTAGTGTATGTACCTACTCAAATATTTACTCAGTTTTATGAATAGAAAGAAATAGAAATTGACAGAAAGACCGTCGGATGTAATATATTTTAGTAGTGAAACTACCCATTACGTTCTGTTTTTACTCATAATTTTTTATTATTGCTTCCTTTCGGTGTTTTATAAATGTGATTTATGGCAAGGATATGTTTTGATGCAAATTTCAAACATTGGAACTGGTTTGTGTTTTATAACTTATACTCTAGTGAAACTCAAATCATTAATTATTTTTATCGTATTGTCTAGGACTGTAATATAAATAAGAATCTGAATAATCTGAATTGATATGTTATTTAGCGAATATTGTCCTGACATTTTAGGTTATACGGTTTTGTCGCTCATGTTATTTTAAAGTAAAATGAAACCTGAAGTTAATCCGATTGGCGCGAGTCCAACCTGATATCTTCAAATGAAAATCTGTGTACTCAAGAGCAATTGTTATGATAAGTTGCTTACTTCTAAAATTTTGTTTACGTCTGTAAATAATATTATCCAATAACTATTAAATTTGTATAAATTATTGAATAAAAATTTACGAATACTTTCGCTATACTATTTACCTTACTGCTTCTATAAAGCCGGCCAATGTTGCTGGTTAACGGCCTTTTTGCTGAAGATTAGTTTATGCCTTCATTTACTTATTTAACTTTTAGATGACTCGATGGCGCCGTTGCTAAGCTATTGGGTAGGCATCGATGGTTGTAGGTTAGATTCCCACACGGGACCAGTATTTGTGTGACCATAGTTCCGGATCTGGGTGTTTGTTTACCAAAAAGGGTTGACGTCAAGCAGGTGGCCGGTTGTAAAAATTATAGCCAAATCCGTTTACATGATTCACATGTTGTGCCGACCCCACCTAGGTGGGATAAGGACAGGAGGATGATGATGATGGTATAAGTACGGATGAAATTATAAGTAGGTTAAAATTATTTTATCCAACCTAATAGGTACTAGATATTAACGAAAGAATAATTTAACTCAAACAAAAAATTTAATCATCGTGTAATTTATTTATAAAGTATTAGGCAAATGTAAGAGTAAAATAAATATTGAGGTAAAAAATAAATTTATTCAATACAAAAATTTACTACTTCCCGTTCAGAATAAGTGCTACAACTTGTGATCTCAGCGTTTTGTTTGAATCGTTCGTTTTCATTTTCTTCGATTTCTTTTTCGTTTTCTTTTTATTTTCAACAACATTTAAGCCCTTCCCACCAAATTCCTCTTTCAAGGACCACGGTAATGCCAACGTTTGTATACCGTGCTCCCTCATATCACGCACGTTGTAACGATTCCAAGCGAAACAGCAAACTCTTAGCTTATCTTTACAGCCAGGTACTTCGGTAAGGGAGCGAAATCCTGTGCAAAGTTTGCTATCGATGCAAATACCTCCAAGGTTCCAACACGGAGTAGTTAGCAAGGACCCTGTAGCAATTGTATTAAATAATAGTCTAAAAAATGTTATTATGCTTCTTTAATTAATGAAAATATATTTTAGAAAATTTAATATTACTTAACTTACTGGTAAAAAATATAAATATTTATGAAACAAAAATTCGCATTCATGCACCAGGGTATTGGGATATTGAGTTCAATATTATTCATGGAAATTATTAATTAACTAGTACTCGGACTAAGACTATACGATTGACTTGGCTCAAAGAGAGAAAGGTAATTATATAGTGTTTTTTACGAAATAAAGAAAGGAAATTTTACATTATTTAAAACATACTTCGAGATGTTGCCAGGGAAGCAAGAGCAGTGTGGTACGCAAGTAGCTCTGCACGTAAGTCCTCATATTCCTCGTCTTCTGACAAATCCAAATTCACATCATCGCGTAGTCCCGATACAAGTCTAGTTCCAAACTCTTCACTACTTTTGGATAATTGAACATTCGAACATAGAACTATACGCCCGTGGGAGTACATTAACAAAACAAGAACAAGTCGCCTCATTCTGCACAATGCAAATTTCAGAACTGGTATTGCCAATGCTAAATTGAAATCGTACAATCTGGGTTTTATTGACTTCGACTACATAAATCTCTCGTGATTGTGTGTTTACTTTATAATCGAATTCCAACGTTATCCGACGGTGACGTAACGAAACTTTGTAAGAACACTAACCGTGAAAGAAGTCCTTGAAAATATTAAAAATTAAATATCATGCATAAAGCAATTGTTTCACACTAATTCTAAAAGTCAGTTATGATTTTTTTTAAATAAACACACGAACAGACCTCACTAAGAATAATGTTGGTTGTGATTTATCTCCATTGACTCAGAAAATTTTTTGGAGGTTGAAATTATCGCTCGGAATATAAATAAATATAGTAATGTAATAACATAATTGACAGAAAATGTATGTACATTTCACAATAATGACGTTTTTGGTGTCATGATAGCCTTAAACTTAGAAGAAGCAGTACTTGCCCAGTCGAGGTGGCATATTCATACAAAAGTAGAACCTCTCACGTGGTTCTACTAAAGTAATTTATGAATAGTTAAGTATAAAATATTGAAAATATGAGACCCAATACTTGTTAAGGTTATTAAGAATTATTTTTAATATCTTACATTGTTATAAAAGCATTAACAGTTAGAGTTAGTGCCTTGAGGCGCGAACTAGTTCAAAAATCTTCCAAATTGCTAAATTTGCTAAAAGTTTTAGTTGGTCCTACATGGGGGTACATCAAAAACATGTTAGGAAACTATATATTTCATTGGTTAGAAGCCGAATAGATTATGCTAGTTTTCTTTACGATGGAAGTGCCAAAGCTCAAGTATCAAAACCCAGAACCAAGCATTGAGAATAATTGGTGGATTTTTAAAGAGCACTCCTATTCATTCACCTGTGCAAATGTGCGGGAAGTCGATGGATGCAGGTGGCTCAGGATCGTACTTCGTGGCAATCTATGGGGGAGGCCTATGTTCAGCAGTGGACTCAAACAGGCTGAAATGATGATGATGATGATGATTCATGTAATGTTAAGCGAACTTAGCTTACCGCCTCTATTCATAAGAAGACAATACCTTGCATATAAATATTGTTTAAAAAGCCAGTCATGGTCCAATAATGTTACATTAGAATTATTAAGCAAATTGTCGTCCCTATGTAATTCAAGATATTGGCGAAAAAAAATTACCTTTATTAGCCGCTTCATATAATGAAACAAAACTCTGTGGAGTGCACTGTACGTCCCCATTACTAATGTTCAAATTAAATATATGGACGCATTAAAAAAGGTATAGCTGAGTATGAACGTAATTGTATTAAATATAATGCACTGAAGGAACTTAACGAAAAATATTCAGGATGGCATAAGATTTTCACAGATGGTTCAAAAAAATAGTAATTGCATAGGTGCAGCTTTTTATGTTCCTTTTCAACAACATAGAATTTATTTTAATATTAAGTCTGAAGTGTCAATAATGACAGCAGAACTCATTCTGCGATTTCAGAAGACTTGTCCTTTGTGATTGATAAAGATTGGAGCAACAAAGTGCTTTACAACACCTGGCTCAATGCGCTTCTGATCGTAGAGGTGTATCAATAGCTTATTGTATACTGGAAAAAATATTAAGGTTAGAAGAAAAGGGGAGGATACTGAAATTGCAATGGATTCCTGCTCATTTTGGAATACACGGTAATGAAGTAACATACAGACTGGCCAAAGTAGGCTCTTCCCAAGGAGCCGAAATTAACATCATACCTGATTATACAGAAATATTACACAAATTTAAAATACAAAATTAAAAGAACTGGAAAGAATATTTTAATGAAAACTCTAAAATAAAAGGAATCTGGTATAGAACTTTGCAATCTGAGCCTCTTCATATACCGTGGTTTTCACAATGTAATTATAATAGGAAAATCATAAAAATATTTTTAAGATTGCGTTCTGGACATATTGCATCAAACAAATTTGCATACATTATGAAAAAAACAAACTCTCCGAATTGTAATCTGTGTTGAATTGAGGAGGATGTACAACATGTTTTGTTGGAATGCGTCAAATGAGAGGAAATGATGGGAGCCTTGAACATGGATTCTTTCAACATAGGAATTGCGCAGTCAATCTTGTCTCTGCAAATTTCAGATGGTGCAAAGAAATTATGTTGTTCAGCTTCTGTGTTCTCACAATAATTTAGATATAGTGTATTTCTAAAGTATAGAAATGAGATGGTCACAATGGGGTTGACATATCCAAAAAGGATAAAAACCCCAAAACAAATTCGGATAAAAAAAAAACATTTGTTACTAGTAAATAATGAAAACCTATTACAATTTTATTTGACTGTTTTCATAGTGCTATTATTGCGCCTAAGATGAAATTTTAAATCTGAAAAATAGACGAAAAGTATTTCGCCAATGCGAGGATTTGAACTTCCTCCGGGAGACGCACCCGACGCTCTAGCGACTGAGCTTGCTTTTTTTATTAAATTTTAAGCAATGCTCGGCACCATCTAATGTGTTTCCTTTACAGCAAACTACCACTTTTACATAATATGACATTTCACAATGACACATTTTAAAAACATTCAATTTTGTTATTGAATGTTAAATGATCTTAATTTTTTATAGTGGTGTTCTGCGTACTTAAGATGAAATCTTAAAATTTTGGAATATTTAATTTTCAAATTTTATTTAAAAAGTGATTGTTTGATGTAAAGGAAACACACTAGATGACGACAAACATGACTTATAAATGTAATAAAAAATCAACTGTGGCACTCGGGGACTGCCGCGGTAGAGCTATTGCATAGGATCTTTTATCAACTTATGCAATTATAATGATTTATTTTTTATGGAATATTCTTTTTCTTTGATATTTATAATAAAATAATAATTTTTATAATAATACAATTTATTAATATATATTATAATTAATTCTATATAATTTATTTATATTATTTACAAAAATGATAAGAACTACTAAGTCATTAAATTACAATATACTAACATTTTTAAACTTGTGATATCTTTTGTATGGAATGTCCGAATTTAATCATTCAAAAAGTTATATAAAGATATTGAAACAGTCTTAAACATGAAGTAAATTATTTTTATAAGGATTAATACCAATACAATTAACGAGCCTTTTCTAGCGGCGGAATTTCAATAAAAATTTTAAAATAAAATAACACTTATTGTGGCATAACTATAATAGTTAGACATATGCTGTCGCGACACCTTTTGTAAATAATGATGTTTTCTGCAAATTCGTAGTACATTATTTTATTATATCATCAATAGTTTTTGCAGCGCACGCGATGAAAAGAATATTTTAGTCAATTTTTGTACACTTTGAGTTCCATTATTGAAGTTTTAGTAAGAATCCCTAGTTTTTTTTTGGAAATATAATATAGCGTATTTCATCCGGGGCTAATGTAGCTTCCCAACAGTGAAAGAAAATTTCAAATTGGTTCAGTAGTTTCGGAGCCTATTCAATGCATACAAATAATAAAATTTTTCCTCTTACATGGTAGGCGGAGTGAATGGAGGAGAGAAAATAAAACCTAACACCCCCCGTGTTAGGTTTTATTTTCGTTACGGAATTTCTTGATTCGGTCGCCGCGCTCAAAGCCCGCGATAAAATCCATGCAATAGCTTAAAAACAAACTAGATAAATTCGGTTACATTTTCATCCGTGTGACGATATTCCATTAAGCTCAGTGGCTAGAGCGTAGGGTGCGTCTCCCGAAGGATGCAGATTAAAATCCTTGCATTGGTGAGATACAATCTAAAAAATTTCATCTTAAGCGCAGAGAATAGCACTATGAAAAAAGTCAATAAAAGCCTAGTAGATTTTCATTATTTACTTGCAAATTCTAAAAATGGTTTCAAAACGTATTTTCTGATGAAAAACCTTCGGACATGTTTACTATCGGTGAAGCTAGAAGTGTTTACTTAAACTTCCTCCGATATAACTATTGCCAAGTAAACAACGAAAGTTTACGCATAAAGTAAATGTAATCAATACTAGTGTGTTCTCCTTTCCGGGCTGAATTGTGAAAATTACGGGAAAAGTTAAAAATGTACGAGTGAAATATGTGCCCGATTTTTATTCCTGAAAAGTTGAGTTAAAAAATGCACGGCAGCTATACAGCCGTAATAACTCATTGTCCGGGCACTGGCTTTTACTTAAATATACTCGAGCAACCTGAGTTCGATCCCCGGTGTCGCCACCAATGAAATTGTTAATTTTAAGTGATAACTTATCATGTGCTCAGTGGCGAAGGAAAACATCTTGAGGATTCCTGCATATTTTTGAAATAATAGCAAAAAATATATTTCGAAGATATGTGAAGTCCGTCAATGCGCAATGGACTATTCCCTTATACCTTCTGTATTGAGAAGGCCTTTGCCCTGCAGTGGGACGTATATAGGATATTACTATACTTTTACCTATACAGTTTGTATTTAAAGTACAGAAGTTTTATGTTTTTTTTAAACGTAGCAAAGAAACTTACAATTCCTTTACGTCTGAAAATCTTACGTACCTATCGAATTGCTTTCAAATAGTAAGTATCGCATATATATATATATATATAAAATATAAATATTACTTTATATTATATACGTTTATATGGTATGATTCTTGTATCTTCTCTTGTATTAACTGATGTTTTTGCTTTCAGTCCCGAGACTATTAAAGCTTCATCTGACGCAGAACCGGTGGGCTAGCCAGAACCCACGGGTTTGGGCCCTCCGCTGTGGGTAGGGCCGCGCATGTGCTCATGCGTGCGTTTAACTACGACATGTCATCTAAGGGCCATCGAAGTTGCGGTGCGGACCGAGACCCCGATGGCCGTCGACTGTGTTTTTAGCTAATCGGTGGCTGGGGGCGGTGAGAACCGCCCTGGAACGCGGGTGTACCTTGTGTACGCGTTGTGTTGGTCTCGCCGTGCTCGGAGGCGAGGGCGAACTAGTGTGTTTGTTGTTGCACTAACTG